GCATCACCGACACTCGATGACGTTCTTCGCAATCTTCTCCTCATGTGATCCTTAGGATAATGATAAAAGACGCAACGAGCTCCTCCTGACATGCTTCAATCACTCTCAGCACAGGCCATCCGATTTTAATATAGTCTCTCCCCACCCCCCCCTCACCCCCCACGGGCGACAGTTTTTCTCCTTAAAATCTCTCAAATGGCATTTAAACCCCCTAGAATTTCCAAACAATGCCTAAGGAGTTTTTTATACTGTCGGCCCTTTCTTTACCCAGTTCCATTTACTGGCAACGCCACTCTTTTGAAATGCTCTGCTGAACCAATGCATTGCATGACTGTTCTGTACCAATAGGGAGTTCGAAGGCATTTTCCTACATTTCCCTTAATAAAACCTGACCTGACACTTTTCCTGGGTGAATTCAATGGAATGAATGTACATAAACTGATATCAAAGGTACGTAAATAATAAGGTGGTACCAACAAAGGCTAGGGAGACCACAATGGCCGTTTTTGGCTTACAAGCTTTCCTGTGTGTGGGAAATTTGACAGTCAAAGTGCTATTCGACTGCCTGAGAGAACTCTAAAGTGCGCTCTTAAGGCACAGGGAGGCATATATCTTCCGTAAACAGATTTTTTAGTCCCACACTATTCCCGATCAAAAGTTGCAAGTCAACTATCTCACGGTGCAGTAGTTAAAGCGGTGGACTTCTAGCCAACAGGCCGCAGGTTTGAGTCCCGGGTGCCGCAACACCTGAGATTGGTTATAACTGAGTGATGACGGCTAATAAGCCAGAAATAGCCATTGCAGTCTCCTTTTTTCTTTGTCCATAATGTATCTTTGCCTGTCATATATACGCATATGAACAAAAAGCAAGGGAGACTGGAATAGCGATTTTGGCTCTGAGAGGGTCCAGGCACTAAAGTAAAAAGCTAGGTAGGATTTAATTAATATAGAAACGATATGTTTGCTAAGCAACTCCCAAAAAGCAACGACAGCTTAAGACTCGAGACTGCTATAAAGGGTGGGTTGGTTCAAGGCCACTTCACGCAGCTATAAAAGTTGCCGATAGCCTACTACTTAAGGGTCAGTTAGTAATAAATGGCTTTTGAACAGACGCCATCGACAAAATAATCTCCTCATCAATTATAACTCAGAAAGAGACCGTGAGTGTACATCAAAAATGCCCGCACCTAGCCTTGCCGGCAAAGATAAAGACACCTGGAATGGCCATTTCTAGCGCATTAGCTGTCATCAGCCAGTCATGCCCAACTCCATGTGGTGTACCACCCGAGGCTCGAACCCACAAATTTTTGATCAGAAGTCTAATTCTCTAATCCTTGAGCCACAGGTTTGTTGTTTTGCCGGTCTAGATCGTAAATATTGGCATTCGTTGATGAACGTTCACCGATCGCTGAAGGAACTCAGTCGTCCCGTTCTGCCTTGAAACCCACTCCCGAACCCCGCCAGGAGCTGTAAAGTGGTCAAGAGTGTTCAACAATCAAGAGTTACTATCTCTTATTTCTGACCGACACAGTTAAAAACTTGAATGAACATTTATTTTTTCTTGTCTCACGCTCCAAATATACAGCAAAGTGCCTATATATTCGTCGGTTCAACATTTACCACAGTTTATGCAGATTACGCCACTCACCTCAAGATCTAAGAGGTCAAGCAAAAGGTCGTGCAGCTCGCTGGCTTCGCTCAGTTCGCGTGTCTTTAGGGCAATGGCGTCACAGAGGGCATCATAGGCGCTTTTCACTCGATTCGCAAACGTCGTAACAACTGATTGAGCAGCCTCGTTGACGCTAACAATTTCATCATCCACCTGGACGCCACGCCGCGAGTCCTGATTCAACTTCTGTCCACGAGCAACTGTGTTGGAAACTTTGTCTGTCCACTGCCTCACGATGCCAGCAAGGGTCCGCAGACGACGAAGCGTCCGGTCATTTTCTTCTGCGTTCTATCAAAGTACATGAAAAGGGAAAACATGTGTGAGCGACCAGTGTTTGTGCATTCCTGTTTACCAACTGAGCGGAGCTAAGGGTCTCCAGATGGTAATCTGAGAAGGAAAGCAAATCACGGACTATTATGTTAAATAGGTGTGTCATGTCACGCGTATAAATGTCTTACCTGCCTACCGGACGTGGACAGAGGTGAGAGGATGGAAACCAAGGCAAGCCCTGATGTGCTTCGGGCATCAAACATATATTTACTCAGAATAGCTTAAACCCAGATTCACCCTCCTTTTTGAGATCGAATAGATATGAGCTCCGACGTTGACTTTAATCAGCATCAACTCTAACAAATATTAACGTCAGAAATAGTGCTCGTTTTACTTACACTCAGCTACACTTCTAGTTAGTAGTAGTAGTTGTTGTTGTTGTTGTAGAAATAGCAATAGCTGTACCAGCCTCGGTTTCACTGAGTCTGTCTTGACGCCTACTAAAGGCACGTGAGGGTAAATAGTGCGGTTGTACCAGTACAAAAGACTACTGGCACTTAAGACAAATTTGGGCGGTGTTCTGGCCTGCACTGGAGAAAGCGGCCTACGCCCGATTCCGTTCGGTCATCTTATCTCTGTCTTGTCATTGATTCAAATGGATAAGAGTTTAGCGTGAGGTAGACAGTTGCACGTCTAGTTGCGCTTAAATTTCGTCTCTGTCCCCAGTCATCATCCCTGCTCCTGGGCATATGGTGGACATAATCGAAATCGATGGTCAAACTATCATATATGTCGATGAACAGAGGCTACGATGTATATCTCAGTTTTTTGGTGAGGAGGGGGAATGAGGTTCGACGACAGAAAAATGGATTTCTATGCGGCGTCTCAGACACCGACTGGAATTTCGCAGAGAATAAAATAATTACTTATCTTACTGTCTATTGTTTCAGGCCAATCATCTGGCTATCATATGACTTCATCCATAAGAGAGGGTGTTTGTGATCTGTATCGCAGGTGGGCTGCCTAACTGATATGGTAGAATTTGATGGTTGTGTTAATGCAAGTGCTGTCTGCTTTTGCCCTGTCCAATCCAGTTAAAATGGACTGGGATGAAGAATGACCACCCAAGAGTCCGAAACGTTAGGTGGCCATGCCCAATTTCCCGAATATCGAGCATTCCTATCGCAAAAATTTGCACATATTTATTCGTTTAATCCTTTAGGACAGAAAGTTGAAATAACGCTCAGTTATGCTTTTTGGAGACACAGCAAGGGAGCCTTTCAGATAACTAGCGACAAGAGAGAACGATGAAAAATCAATCTAGGAGATAAAAATGCAGCTGTCTCAATCATTTAGCACTAAATCAAATTTGTCATGAATCCTTCAACAGCTTGGTTTCATCGGGAATTCGTATACTTTCGCAAAACCCTGTGAGAATTTTAAAAGTACAAGAATTTGTGATTGCCTCGATGTTTCGAACATTTCTAGGCAGATTGATATATCTCCTATATTCAAAACTTTGTGGATTAACTGAATCGGTCTGTTCGCTGATGAGAGAACTGAGCTGAGTTTCCTTTCCTACCCGATACGCGTTCTTTATAAGGAACACCGTAGTTTACTATGAATAATTCACAGTTTATTTTGTTGTTATTTATTACTTAGTTTAGTTCAATTATTATTTTTGTCAATTATTTAGGTTCGTTGGTTTTAATTTGATGTTTATGATAGTTAATGTAATTTAGTTTAGTTTTATTTTATTTTCGTTTGTTTTTTAGTTTATTATTTAGTTTTATTAGTTTTAGTTCAGTTTTATTTTAATTAAGCATAGTTTTCAGTTTAATTGGCAATGTTATAGTAAACTACGGTTTTGCTTCGAAAAAACCCACACCGAATATCCTAAAAGACCCCAATGCAAAACATTTGGCAAATGGTTGCCTATTTCAGTAAGTGGGAGTACTCTTCTAAGCTTTATTAACTGAGTGCATTAATATAAATGGAGAAGTATTACGAAAGATGGAGTTACTGCTCCATCACATTCATTCTTTTTAATAGTATTTTTACAAAGACGCTGGAGGTATTTACCGTGGGTCTTTCCAAGCTGTTAAGGTAGAGCTCCCTTTCAGAGATCCAGGCCAAGATGTCGGTGGCGTCAAACACATACCTGTTTATCGCCTCGATCAGTCTAACCTCTTCAATGCGCACCTTGAGGACGTGGTTCAGGGTGAACCACACTTCATCCAGTTCGGCCAGGACTTTCTTAAAACTAGCGACTCGACTGCCAATGCGCTTTTGAGCTTCCGGCGTTAGGAATTCCCGCTCTGCCCTCTGAAAGATTAATAGATGGTATTCTCACAAACGTCACTCATATATTTCAAATGTAATGTAAACGTTAATTTTTTGCAATAAATATTCCGTTGTTTGGATGATTCTCAAAGGCTTCAGGTCGCTTCCAACCGCAGTCTACTAAGGCGCTAATCCAGTCCATTGAGATACGATAACTTGTTTTTTTTTAATTCTTGCGTAGGCAGTCAAAACTATTCCCCTTGGATTCCAAAATCATTAAACTGGACTGATAAGACGATTAGCTGGAGGAAAAGTAATTTGTGTCGCATACATTTTCGAATTTCGCTCGTCCTTTAACAATGCGTTTTTAAATCAAACAATAGAAATCAGGAGATCCTCGATAGTACTGATGAGCTTTGCCTTACGGGGCACATCCCGAAAGACACAGTAGCGTTTATATTTGAGGTAGGGCGCATAAACTGTGAGTGGTGTAAGGTCCTGTGTTGAATAAAATCCAAGGTCTGTTAATAATGCAGACCAAACCAAACATGTGAGCATTGTGAACGGTTAAAAAATACGCATTTTTGGGAAGTCCCCTTACACATAAAGACGGATCTTTTAACCATTTCTTTGTCGTTCTACTTCTCTAAAGACTATTTTGTTACTACAAGGACAAAAATATTCTTGTGTGCATGCTTTCTACAACATATATTTGAATTTATGAAAACACTGTAAATCAAGGAAAAGAGGTAAGCATTTTTATAGGGGATAGTTTCTGAAGGCGTCCGGAACGCCTGTCCTGTCTTGACTGAAAAACCTTAAGATTATGCTGTATGATGATTAAGATTATAACTCTACTGAAGTCGTATCTTCTAACTGGAAATAAATTTCAGAATTCCGGTGCACATTTCATAGGATAGCATAGTTATTGTGATAAATAACTTGTTTTCAGGAAGACAAGTTGGGCGAACGAAAGTTTCTATTAATTCATTATCAGGAAAATACAATGTTATAAGGGAGGATAGAGTTAACAAAAGTTTAAACAATCATTCAGTAGTAATTAGAGGAGAGGGAAGAGAAGTTTTAAGGGATCAAAGGCATCCTCACGCCTTCCAGCAATATGCGAGACAAGGACAACGGGGCGACATGAACTAATTGTTGGATCCCTTCCCCCTCTGGTCCCTAATTATGACTATGATCTGACTCCTTTGAGCCCTTAAAACCTCTCCTCCTCCCCTTATGACTACTAATTGATTGCTTGAACTTTTGTTTACTCTATCCTCCCCTATTATTGTATTTTCCTGATGATTAATTAATCGAAAACGTTCGTTGGCCTAACTTGATATCCTGAATGCTTACAGGGGTAGCTTCGCTGAAAATAACTTGTTATTCGTCGTATAAACACACCGATGTGTCTTCCCACTAGGACAAATATTATCACACTTATGAAGCCTTGCTAACGACTACCTTCAGTGTTTTTTCTTTTAATTCATAGCAATTCAAATATGCATAAAACAGAGGTATTAGTCACATATGAGCTAAGGTTCGACTTGCACCTGACAGAGCTGTCTGACCCTTGGAGCCCTGTTTTCAATCTCAACGCGATATCCTTCCAGCCTGCGCCCCCGACGTTGGGCCGCTAGGAGTTGAACGCCCGGTGGTCTGGGTGAATCCGGAGCCGGCCAGTCAGTGTAGGGCGGCCGAACCGCGGCGAGCTTATCACGTGCCCAGCG